GACGTGGACTATGCGGACTCCCAACACCCCTGTCCACCATATGGTGAACAGTCGGACTGTCCGACACTCCCAACACCCGTCATCACTGGTCAGCCGGACTGTCAGGACTCCCAACACCCCCGGTCTCTAAGAGCTTGTGGTACTGTTTATGGCGCACCCTCTCTCCCAAAACCCCCGGGTCTTCGTATTCTTCCTTAGTTTAGACGAACATCGAGAAGAGCACTGCCTTCAGTAGTGCTGACCAGTTATAGACTTTCTCTGTCTTTATCTCAACAGAGTTTTTGAATTGTGAAGACTTTTGATGCAAAGACTAGACCCAAACACATCGGCAAGAAGTCCATGAATTGCTGCGATGCCAGTGATGAGGGCTTTCATCGCTTCAAATAACTCTGTGGTCAATAATGTGTAGCAAAGGATGCATTCACTTAACTAAGAACTGCAGTGGAGTCGCCCTCTATTGTCAGCCAAGGCCTAAACACTCACTGTCTCTGTATTTTACTCTATGTTTTACACGTGTCATAGACTCACGTTTTCCCTAACATTTTATGTACTTTTATACACTAATGAATCGGTTGTTCACTATATAAGAGGTGTGAAAGATAGGAACCGGAGCTCAGTCTGCGATCAGCCTTTGGAGGCGTTGTTTGCGATTAACGACACGATTGTATAGTTTTAACGATAGTTTGTTTTATTGTATTTCATTTTAATTATGTATACAATTGTGTTGTAAATGATTGCGATAATAACGGCCGGAATAAACATGTTTTAAAGTTACGTTTAATTGTGTTATTTGTCGGCAAAGCGAGTGCTCACTGAAGAGCTAAGCGGATCCCTCGGTGACAGTGGTTTAAATCCATTGCAGAACTTCTTAGTCCTGAGTCTTAACCAAAGGATATCTTCCATCACTTCGAGAATACAAGTGAAAGACATTTCAGTTGTTTTGATTGCTTTTAAAATGTTCAAAAATATTTTGTATTTATTTGTTGTAAAAATTGTTTTTTGAAATAAATTTAAAATTCAACAAAAATTTATAAAAACTTGATTGTTTCCAAAAATGAAACAAATAATTGTTGTATAATATTCATTAGATTTGTGTAGCATTTGAGTCAAAAATTGCAAATACTTATCAAATATAACGTAAAAACTCAACTGAAATAAATTAAACTCAACATAAATATTAAAAATATTTTATTTAAAAAATCATAATTAATTCAAATTTTAATACAAGTACTAATGAAAATGATATGAAATAGAGATTTTCACAAATAATCTGAGAAAAAGTCAATTAAAAGATAGAGAAGAAAATATAATAAGCATTTAATTGATAATATGTAACACAAAATACTATATATTCAATGATTTTTAAATTATTAATAGAAAAAGCAAATTATGTTTCAAAACGATTAGATGTCCTAATTATATGAGAATAAACATCATTATTATAACCGAATATAATCTTTAGTTTAAAATCTTATATAATATATAATAATAGCGTAAAGGAAGTGGAAAATTATTTAACAAAATTTTCTTCTAATTTGTTTATCGATTTGTTTAAACATTTAGAAAATTCAAAACTCGGAAACTTTCGTCAAATGCTTAATAAAAACTATTAATTTTTTAATATTTCTTTTTAATCAATGATTGTATTAAGGCGTTAATCTTCAGCGACGGCCCGACTTTGTTGGTCAACGCCATGACGTCCTCTCCGGACAGCGACAGGAACTTTTGTCCGTCTATTTTCTGGCCAAACAACAAAACAAATTAATTTTAATATATTTTCATTACATTTATAACAAAAACAGATAAAAACATGAAACGGAAGATGAGATCATTTGTATTACATTTGCAATAAACGAATCACAATAAGCGGAGCAATCATTTTGTCTGAGAAAGTGCGCCACTTCTTGATAAGTCCAGAGTCGGGGCTCGGAATCCAAATCAAACGATTCGGATGTAGTCTTCACTATTGGCGACGGTTTGATCGTAACTGAACTCAACGATGAGACGGACAGTGAGGACGAGGAAGATATGGTATCGTCTTGACATTGGATCCATTCATTGGAGGCAAACGGAGAGGCGATCGAGTCTTCCATAAACTCTTTGCCTGTTATAGTCGGAGACAAACGTTTTTTGCCTAAAATTGGTGTAAAAACCAGATTAACACAAATCCAATGAAAGAGCGGATATAATGGGAGTAAAAGCCATACGTTTTTGAGAACGATTTTTACATAGATTTCTTCGTCTTTTGTTCGAATCATTTGGCGTAAGGTTTTGAAGACCAGTCGAGTCCTCGTCTTTTGGCGACTCTAACGGATAGTTCACGAGTTGACACCAACCCGTCGGGAAGAGGTCCGGAGACTCACAGTCACACCACTGGTCGTAACTCTCGTCCCAACCGGCGAAGTGTACTTTCAGTAGACGTCCCACAACTTTAGTGATTGTGGCCACACATATGAGTCGGGGTTCCATGAGGTCGACGGCCTCGACATACATTCCCTCTTTGAAACCATGTTTGGGAATATCTTTCTTGAACAGAGGCACCGGCGCTGCACTCGATTTGGTCTCTTTGAGGTATTGAAACCAATTGAACTCATTTTTATAGCCTTTAAATCAAATTCAATTGTTATTATAAATAAGAGTTATTAAACACATAACGCAAGTGAAATGAGTGCAAACCTCGGGGTGGAGTCAACTGGAGTTTATTGAGTGAACAAAAGCCAACGGGAAAAATGCAAGGACTGGTCGCGTGATAGCAGAACCAATCGGAACCGTTGGGCGACATCATGCCGTCGATGCCAATCATAAGATAATTATTTCGCAATACTTTAGTGACTGTGGCCACACATATTGTCGAGAGATTTAGCGGATCTATTGCTTCCAATTTCATGCCTTTTGAGAAAAACAAAAAAATTAAAATCACGAAAGAGTGGCAAAAGTATTTCCCAAACCTTCTTTGAATCTGTGTTCGGTGATGATTGCGGGCGGCATTGGGAACAGATTCCATGTGCAGTCATTCTCCTCGAACTGTTTGCTCAGTGACTTCTGAAGCGAATTCCTGGCGTACTCTGGAGTGGCTCTCAGCTCGTGACCGACCACTTGAGCCCAACCGACGGGATGTATTAAATTAGACTTTTGATGGCACCAAAAGCCTTCATCAATATCTTCGGATCCCTCGTACGTGACGTGAAGGCGTCCGCCAACGATGTCGTCGATTGTGGCCACTCTTACGGCCGAAATGCGATTCTTGTCGACCACTTCTAACTTCATGCCGACTCTGAACCGTGTTCTCAGGCTTTCCTTCACCTGTTCGGCAAAGTTCTCGGGCAGTGTTCGCGAACCCGTCAGACGTTTCACGAGAAATCCCTTCCAATCGGAATTCCTACCCTCGATGGTCTTCGGAGGAATAAGCGCTTTACCCTGTGATGCACACCAACCGACCGGATGTACTTGTGTTGTGAATATATTGATCCAAAAGTCTTTACTCGAGTCATTGCCAAAGCCCTCGTACCTCAACTGAACCATATATCCTAAACAGTGGTTCAATCAATTAATACCACAATTCAAAGGCAAGCAAAACAATGGTTACTAACCGGCGATCTTAACGACACCAGCGATCCAATGAAACTCTTGATTGGGTTTAGAGGCGGGAAAGTCTCTGTTCTTCACCTCCAACTTGAGCCCAATGGTGACCAACGAGTCCCACGTGTCGGACATAGGCGTGTGTGGGAACGAACTGATTGGCGCCCCTCTCACCGAACTGTCCGCCAAAATGGACATCCAGTCGAAGCTGTAATGCGTTCCCACTTTCACTACATTTTTGGCCGCCTTTTTGCCAGAACTGACACTAGTCTGTAGTTTAATGGGCGGCGGCTTCTTCTTCACCTGAGGCGGCATTTGTTGCTGAGATGTGAGCGAATGGATGGGCGCCGACGTCAGCACTTGCGACGGGTTTACGTTGACATTGCTTTTGGAGATAATCTTAGGTTTAGTGGCCGGAAGTGTCACGATCTTGAAGAGCGGTGTCTGCGGCGGCTGCGGAGGCAGTCCTCTGACACAAGTGGCGCTGCAGTACTGCTTCCCTTTGCCATAGAAGGTGTCCTTAACGCCAACATTACCGCATCGGATGCAGACTCCCATCCCTTCAACACAAGCGCACAAATCAATCAATCAATTCAATCAACGCTTAATCTATTCATACAAACCATCGTTAGAAATGGGAACACGAGATATGATGCGATTCTTCGGCAGCGAAGACATGGCGTTGGATCCCTTCAGTCGCGCCGTTGTGTTGGCATTTGATGTGTTATTATTACTAGTGTTTGAGTCATTGTTGGCCATCAGTTGGGAACCGATGACCGAAGAGTTTGTGCGCAAAGTATTGGTGTTTTGGTGAAGACTTTTGTCGGACATAACCGACACTTTGTGGTCGACTGCGGCGGACGTGAGGGTACGCCCGGAGACGAGGCCTGTGTCCGGCATATCGTCCTCCATGTCCTGGTAGTCCATGAGGTCGTCCACAATGGCTGACATCACCACAACATATCCACAACAGATAACAACAACAACGACAACAACACAGACACAGATTCAGTGGCAAACCATTTGGGTATCAAATGAATGGCTTGTTTTCACTACATTGAAGACAATTACGACCGAAACGATGGCAACACTTATGGACACCACTGGACACGAGTTGGCATTCAATCGACAAAACTAATTGCAATCAACGCTTAAATGTTTGGCAAAAACAGTGTTTTATTAGTGTTTTTGTTGTTGTTTTTTGTGTTGACTTTTTTCTCAATGCATTCATTCATTTCATTTCATTGAGTGATCTCTCAATCTATACATTGAATAACAAACACTTCTCTCACACTCTCATTGAGTCTCTCATAGAGTCTGTATATAAAAGCCATTTATATCTGTCAACCAAACAAAAGGCCACTGCCTTTCACTGCCTTCACTGCCCTCTCAACACTCCATTCCCGCAGCAAAACACACAATCCATTCAATGAGAGCTATTTGTGGATCCAATGCATCCAAAATTGGTTCGCATTTTCTATAATTATCTCCCATTGAATGTACCGTTTGTTGCGCTAAAAGTGTTGTCCATATATTACGTGCCGATGTATTGATGAACGCACCAGAGGTGGGAATTTTGAATATGCTATTATTGAAGGATTGAATAATTGGGCTCAATGTACGGCATCTTAACATATAGATAGTACTAGTGTTGTAAATTACATGTAATATAGATTTTTATATTACATATTACAGTCATATGACGTCATATAACGTCACATAGTGTAATATAGAAAATACACATTTTGCTTAAAAAACAGTGTTTTATTAGTGTTTTTGTTGTTGTTTTTTGTGTTGACTTTTTTCTCAATGCATTCATTCATTTCATTTCATTGAGTGATCTCTCAATCTATACATTGAATAACAAACACTTCTCTCACTCTCATTGAGTCTCTCATAGAGTCTGTTATAAAAGCCATTTATATCTGTCAACCAAACAAAAGGCCACTGCCTTTCACTGCCTTCACTGCCCTCTCAACTACGGTTGAAAAAATTCCCGGAATATAATAAATATTCCCAATTGGGAATATTCCCAGTGGGAATATTCCCGGAACGTTCCCACCCAAAAAGCTCACTCACCAGATGGCGCCAGTAGTAAAGTGTGATGCACAACTTGTGCCGTGAGTGGAGAGGGAGAGAGTGAGTGGTCTGAGCAGTGATACCAGAGTTCTGGGTCTCAAACCTAACCTAAGAGGTGGTCATAAAAGGGTGGCTATCCTTTGATTCTGGGCGGCAATCAGTCCTAACCCTATGTATGGGCTCAACAATAGTGAAGCCATAAACTGTTTTAACTGAATGTTGTTTGAAATGAAATGTAAACTAAAATATATTTCATGTTCTGACACTCTTCTCTCACTCCAACAAAAATAATTTAAAATCAATAGATTTTAATTTATTTTTCACTTTAAATGAAAATCAAAATAATAAAATCAAATAAAGTTTAAGTATAAAATCAAAATTGGAAATCAAATCAAATAATAATGAATGAATACTTAATATAAAACTTATCAAAAATAGTTTCAAAACATCAAAATATTAAAATGATTATAAAATAGTTATCAATTAGTTTCAAAATTTAAATATCAAAATTGGTTATATAATGTTAATTGAAATTAATGTGAAATAATTGTAATTAAGTCATAATTAATATAAGAATCGTGAGTTGGGTGTCGGGTATGAGTAGCGGATAGGAATGGATGGGTAGGCGTTGGGCGGAGGATACGGTAACTCCATGTACTGCATATGAGGTGTAGTTTGAGTTGTATTAGCTTTGTCTTTGCCAACGGTCTCCAACTTATCCCTAATCTCTAACAATGTGTTTGAAATCAAATCCAATTTGTCTGTTAAGCCTATGGTCTGTGTGTCCGTCCACAACACAACAAACGGTTCGTAAAACAGCTGTAGAGATAAGTTACGTAATCAATACGCATTTTAACTTAGTTAAAATGACGACAAAGACAACTGTATTAACAACACAAACACTACAGAACCGAAACCATACCCTTTACGCTCCATAACTCACATAAATGTATAATAAAATGCAAAATAAAATATCGATTAATCATAAAATTGCGTATAATTGAATGTTATATAAATTTAATTATAATCAAAATAAAATGTTTAAAATATGAATTAATTGTCATTCATTGAAATGATAATTCTTCCAGAATTTTTATCATTCATGGCAACAGTTTTCGCATTAGTTTGTGAGACATTTTGCATTAAAGGAGTGTTGTGTTGTTTGCCAAGCATTTTGTCGACATCTCTATTCAATGCATTAGTTATGCGTAAAATTGAATCAATTTTACTGCTGTTTCTGTTGACATAATTGTTGTGTTTGTGATGTCTTGGCTTTGAATACCCTTTACGATCCATAACTCACATAAATGTATAATAAAATGCAAAATAAAATATCGATTAATTATAAGAATTAAGTAAAATTGAATATAATATAAATTCAATTATAATCAAAATAAAATGTTTTAAAATATTGATTAATTGTCATTCATTGAAATAACAATTCTTCCAGAATTTTTGTCATTCATGGCAACAGTTTTCGCATTAGTTTGTGAGACATTTTGCATTAAAGGCTCGGAATGAATAGAAATCATTTCATGCATTTGTGTATTAGTTTCCGTAGTTTTAATGCAATTAAAATGTTGTTTAAAATAAAAACATGCAAATAGTATCAATAGTGATAATAGCAATAGAATAAGTAGAATATTTCCATATCTGTGATAATTTAGTTGAATTTCATGCACATCATTGAATATAATCAAAATAAAATGTTTAAAATATGAATTAATTGTCATTCATTGAAATGATAATTCTTCCAGAATTTTTATCATTCATGGCAACAGTTTTCGCATTAGTTTGTGAGACATTTTGCATTAAAGGTTCGGAATGAATGGAAATCATTTCATGCATTTGTGTATTAGTTTCCGTAGTCTTAATGCAATTGAAATGTTGTTTAAAATAAAAACATGCAAATAGTATCAATAGTGATAATAGCAATAGAATAAGTAGAATATTTCCATATCTGTGATAATTTAGTTGAATTTCATGCACATCATACTTTTCAGGCCTTAGGTAACTTAACTAAACTAATAATTAGTGTAATTTCATCAAAACCAAAACATTTTCTCGCATTTTAGGATTTAGTATGTGATTAATTGCATAACTCCAACTTGGTACAAAATTTAATTCAGAATGTAAATTAAGTGCATTTGTTTTGTAAGTAATGTTTCCAATATTGAAACTTTGATTAGACGGCAAAACAAAGACTTCTGGGCCACAACTTATATTGTTACCATAAATAGTTATGTTAAAACCATTACAGTAAATATAGTTATACAGTTGTGCTTGTTTGACTTGTACTACATCTGAATATGAAATGTGATCTTTTTGAACACATTTATCCATTTCAAAGTAATTTCCAGTACTAATCAATACATGATTTTGGGTACAATTGTAGTCATTTTCAATCAATACAATGTTTGCGGATTCTTTAGACATATGTTTAAGAGGTTTAATGCAATGATTTTTGGCATCAAATAAAACAATTTCAGGGCCAGTGAAACGACTATTACATAAGTAATTAGTATTGTTTTCACGTTTAATTTTAATCAAATTAAATGAATCAGACTTCATTGCATGCATATCGAGTTTAACAATTTTCATACTGTATTTAATGACAATCATATGTCTAATCTCGTCATGTTTGCAACTTAATGCTGTCCAGTAATCTGATGGACATCGAGGTCCACATGGATTAGTGTAATTGAATATCTTAAGCAATTTCGGGTTTAGTCTTCCATTCTTAAAGTCATACGAAATGTCTGACAAATCATTTTTAATGTGATATAACTTTGTGGTCAAAAGTGATATCAATCGGATAGCTTTTGGTGCAGAATTTTTAACAAAATTTAGATCATTTCTTATGAGAAATAATTCATCAGAAACATTTTTCAATAGTACACTGAATTCATACAAAACTTGATTCTGGTTTCTGTCATTGAATTTCAATTCACGTAAATTATTCATAATTTCTGTGGATTGAGTTTCAAAATCATTCAAACGATTATCATTTGAACTACTTTTTACAATAATGAGCCCAATTATAATGTAGAGCAAGGAATGCGCCGTTCATTAAGACCTCGTTTAGCTCCTAACAGAATGAATCTCTATATGTCAACCATATTATGCATGTTTTCTATGATAACAATTGCCACTTCTTTGGCTACTGTTGAACCCGTTATCTGGAATCGACTCAATAATCCCGTAATTGAAGGCTTAGACACAGTGACTGCTGTTATTGATTACAAGAGTCCGTGTTATTTATTTGATGAGCTACTCATTGGTAAGGAATCGTCTCTTGAAATGAAACAATGGTGTGATTCTCTGTTTATTACAAACTTTAAAACACCTATTAATGAGTTTTGTACATCAGTTGGAGACAGAGATTCCGCTAAATTTGGTTTAATACGTGAAAAACGCTTTATATTTACTGGTATTATAGCAGTTATTACTATTGTAAGCATTATTACAAGCATTGGTATTAGCGCTACTGCTCTCGTAAAAAGTAGTTCAAATGATAATCGTTTGAATGATTTTGAAACTCAATCCACAGAAATTATGAATAATTTACGTGAATTGAAATTCAATGACAGAAACCAAAATCAAGTTTTGTATGAATTCAGTGTTTTATTGAAAAATGTTTCTGATGAATTATTTCTCATTAGAAATGATCTAAATTTTGTTAAAAATTCTGCACCAAAAGCTATCCGATTGATATCACTGTTAACTACAAAGTTATATCACATTAAAAATGATTTGTCAGACATTTCATATGATTTTAAGAATGGGAGACTAAACCCAAAATTGCTTAAAATATTCAACTATACTAATCCTTGTGGACCTCGATGTCCATCAGATTATTGGACTGCATTAAGTTGCAAACACGATGAGATTAGACATATGATTGTTATTAAATACAGTATGAAAATTGTAAAACTCGATATGCATGCCATGAAGTCGGATTCGTTTAATTTGGTTAAAATTAAACGTGAAAACAATACTAATTACTTATGTAATAGTCGTTTCACTGGCCCTGAAATTGTTTTATTTGATGCTAAAAATCATTGCATTAAACCTCTTAAGCATATGTCCAAAGAATCCGCAAACATTGTATTGATTGAAAATGACTACAATTGTACTCAAAATCATGTACTCATTAGTACTGGTAATTACTTTGAAATGGATAAATGTGTTCAAAAAGATCACATCTCATACTCAGATGTA